CAGGACCCTACACTTGGCTCTATTGAATTCCGTACAGTTGGCCTGGGCCCATCGACCCAGCCTGTCCAGGTCCCTCTGCAGAGCCTTTCTACCCTCCAGCACATCGACACTATCAGGCACACAAGCGTGGGGTAAGGTCACTGCAAATGCGCTCAGTCCCCCAAGAAGTGTGTGCTGCGTGAGAGTTCCCAGCTCACACGGCGGGGTGGGCAGGGTTTTCATTCCTGGTTATACAGAAAGGTTGTGACAGGATAAAAAAATACTCTGCCAGCAATTTACTGCCATTGGAATCTTTATTTTTCATTTTAAAACAGTGCACGTTTTCCTGGTCTTGGATTTGTTGAAGCCTTTGTAATTGTTATTATTATTTTACATATTTCTGGCAGCAGTGGTGAATATAAGCAGATTATTGGCTATGAAACTGGCTTTTTATTTAAGTGTATTTTAAATTGTAAGTCCAAATTTTCTTTTGAAAATACTGAATATGTTGTCATGTCTAACATGGGGGTTTTCTTTTGATATTCAGGTATCCAAACATTTAACTTCAGCCTTATTTTCCCAATTTTTCCTTCTCTAAAATTATTTAAAGCTTATCAACATTTAGGAATAATTCCAGGCCTTGCGAAAAGCTTTTTTTCTCTTCCTGAATTTATTCATGATAAACCATTATTTTTTGTCATTCCTACAGCTAACAAAAGATTGCTTAGAGCAATGTGAGAAATAATTGTCTGTTGTTTAACAGAAAATCTCTATAGAAACACTGTGTTCCTTTTCTTCAGACACCACTGGAAGTCAAGAGGGGCTGGTATAGAAATCTTTGGCTCCTGCTCACACGGACACTGCATTTACACTTTTCTGGTGTGTTTTAAATCACTTTTACACGCTCCTCACAAACTTTCAGCTTATTCCTAGTGACTCTCATACTATCAGCCGATTGATCCAGCGTGGGTGAGTTTAATGATCCTAGAGAAAACATTTCATTTCGATGAAATACCTCTAACCTGTCCTCTTCCTGATCCAGCCTGGGCTCTTCCTGTTGCCTTCAGGAGAAACCAGTAGGAAAGGTGCAAGCGGGTTTATTGCCATGCTGGAGCATGATTAAACATTGCTTGCTTGTGCATTGGACAAGTTTTTTTTCCTGGTCTTCCTCTTATTCCTTGCATCATTACATCGTTATAGGGAAAGGTTGTTCTTCTTAGCCCTTTTCTATGTCCTTTGATTTTTAATTTTTTTTTTATTTTTTGCCTTGACCTTTCTGATTCTGACCCTGTATTCTTGTGCTCTTCCTTTTATTTTCAGCTGGAGCATTGCAGGTTTACAGAAGAGCCTGTGATTCTGCCAGCCTGGTTTCTTGTTACTCTTATCCTACTCTTTGTATCTTTACTTTTTATTGCCTCGGTTTGCACTTCAGCCTTAACAGGGTTTAAAAACCTGCCAGTTCTGCTGAACTCCTTTGCCCTTCAACTCCTCTGGGATCTCACCTGCTGGTTCTCAGGGTTCACTGAAGTTTGCTTCTTGAATTTTCAGGTTTTTATTCTGCTCTTTCTCTCCTGTCGCTCTTGGGGAACCACATACTCTGTCCTTTTGTGGTTGCTGCCACCAGCGTTTCCTCACCTTCGTGTTCCCCACCAGGCGTCAACATCAATCAGTTGATTAGTGGAGTAAGTGGCATTTTACACTCGTGCTGCATTTTTCCCTCAAAGTTTCTCAGAAGACTCCATAATAGTAAGAAGACTTCATAATAGTAAGCATTGCTTACAGAAGAGAGCGACTGTTTTAAGAGGCTGTAAAGCAAGAAGCTGGTTTAATAAAACAATGCACAAGTGATTGGGGAGGGGGTCGCACTGCCCTGCTGAAGCACCTGCTTTCCTCAGAGAGGTCTGACTGACTGCCAGGGACGCTTTGGTAATGCTGGTAGATCAGAATTCTGATGAGAATGCAAGTAAGGCTGGACTGGGGCGAGTCCTGGTAGCCAGGAGGGAGCTGGGAGCTCCCTGTCGTGTTCCGTGCACTTTTGCATCGCTCCGTGCTGGAGGGGGGCTGTGGCACTGGTGGCTGCTCTCCAAGTATCCAGTCCAACCTGTTTCACACTTGGATTCTCTAATAAAATAAGAATTTTCTGGTGTGTGTGGGGTTGGGTGAGATTTTGTTTGTGTTATTTTGGGAAGGGAAGGAATACTATGCACAAGTACTTGCTTGAGACTGGAGTAGCTGCTGAGGTGGATGATGTTGGAGAGTCCTGGATGTACCAGGGGCTGTGAAACAATCTCATTACCCACAAGACATTATAATTTTTTTTTTCCGTGTTAGAACTGCTTTTTGCCAAATAAGCGGCTTTGTAGACATGACTTGGTATGTTTATTAAAGAGCTAGAATGTGTTAAATTCAAGGACTGTTAGACACTAATAATTAATAGCTGTCCAGCGTACATCAAGAGCCTATTGATTTTCTGCCAGCTTGCCCTATTAAATATACGAGGGATAAGTTGTGTAGTTAAACATGTAAGAGTTTTATAAATGCCTTTTATAGTTGGCATTCAGAAAACTTTCCATGTTAGCAGATGGGGGGAGAAAAAAAAGGAATTCAAAAAGCAAAGCTGATTTAGCTTAAAGGATCTTTGAGATGGTAAAGTAGATTGAGAGCAGTTTGAATCTTTCCTCTTGAAATAGGTGAAGAAATGTTTGGGCCAAAGGGTTGTTTTTATTGATACTGGATCTAGATTCGTGCTTCAGCACTGTCAATGTGTGGGGCTGCAGGTCTTTCTTGCTTGGAGAAGTCTATTGGTGTCTTGATTTTTTCAATAAGCACTGGACCAGCCACTTTATTCTGAGAAAGTTTGTTTGGTTTGGGGTTTTTTTTGTGTTTTTTTTTTTTTTGCTTCTGTCTTTTCTCCTGTAGTTCAATGCTAGGTGTCATGTCCTAATGCCCGTGGAGCTGGAAGGCAGATTGGGGCGGGTAACCTCACAGTTGTCTCCATGGCTGACTTCCAGGGATGATGGAGTGGCAGAGGAGACGGAGATCAGCTGCTCAGAACACAAGTTCAGGAGTATATATTGCTTGCTCTTGTTTTCTTGTACAGGGCTACGTTAATCCAATATTAGATTGACAATATTGCAAAACGTGCTGCTCTTCTATTAAATTATTTGATGAGTTGCAGTAGAATTGGTAGGGGAAGAG